CTAATTGGTCTGTATTTTTATAATATTCTTATTATTTTGAACGTTAAGTACTAATATTCCAAATTATGTTGTATAACTAATTTTAGCGCAAAATATTTAATAATTTTTTTTCAATTAATGTATATTTTCTGTTATAATAATTTAGTTGAAATTGAAATACAAATGTACGAACAATGTAACTGTGTCTATCGAGAAACATTGCCTTGTAAAATAAATCAGCTTTTGAGGTAAACCAAAAACTGTACTTATAATCAAGCTTTAGTTACCCTAAAATATGTTAACCTATTACTAAGTATTTCTATAAGGCTTATATTGGTTACAGCACCTCCTTGATATATATTTCAGAAATATTTATGTTTGCTTCAAAGAAAAATTTATTTTTACTGAGTTATTACCTTAATCCAATATCTTATTTACTGTTGATGTTTACTTAATCCAGTGTCGTATTTACTGTTGATGTTTATTTAATACAGTATCTTATTTACTGCGGATGTTTGCTTAATCCAGTGTCGTATTTACTGTTGATGTTTATTTAATACAGTATCTTATTTACTGTTCATGTTTATTTAATACAGTATCTTATTTACTGTTGATGTTTACTTAATCCATTGTCGTATTTACTGTTGATGTTTACTTAATCCAGTGTCGTATTTACTTAATACACTATATTATATTTTTATTGAATTATGCAATGAACTTCTGTTATACCTCGTGTTCCGTCGGGAAAAACGAATGATGCTAAATCAATTGCTCCCATCAGAACTCTGGTGTACGTTTCCTATCAAAAAATGAAAATTTATTACGTTTTCACTTGTGAGCTTTTAGCTCTAATTAACAGAATCTCCCTGATAAATAATCTATGCATAACACAATTTAGCAATATTGCTCGCGTTACGCCATTTGGTAGAAATAATATACAGAATTTATTAACGGGTAACGTCTAAAAAAGTCAGAATAGATCAAACATATCTAGTGAGCTCATGGAAACATATGTGATTTACAGTTGTAGACAAACTAACAATTTTTGACGTACAACGCTGCAAACTTCGTGTTTGAATTATATATATATATATTCACTTTACTTCAGATGAAAAATTGGTTTTGACTTCTCAAATAAAGACTTGATTATTGAGAGTTTATTCTGTCATTAGATCAACATTAAATCTTGCTTTATCAACAGTGTAACAATACTATATTTATGAAAGCCGGATATTTTCACAAAAATATCGATGAAACAGAAATATTTTTTTCTTTTTTAACTGAGACACGTGCTAAGTATTAACTTACCTTTTGGAAATCGGAAGGTGATCCAAAGTGAAATGTTCTTGTAACGTCGGTGGTTCCGTCTCTAAAAGAAAAGAATTGATCAGGATCATGATAAAGAAAATACGTAAATTTACTTTTAATACAAAATGTATACGTCTTTCAGTGGTTCAGCAGTAAGTATATGGGCTTACGACGCTAAAAATCTGGTTTAGATTCTCGTGGTTGGCAAAGCACAGATATTCCATTGTGTAGCTTTACGTTTAACAGCAACCAAACACAAGATTTTCTGCAAATGTAATGACGTTAAGCTTCATAGGTGCGATATTTAAGAAAAACAACAACAACAACTGAAGTCTAAGGGAAAAAATATTTCAATGAGTCAAAACTCTAAGTAAGAAACAGATAATGTAAATATGAATTAATAAGTTTCGTAAACTATAGGTAAATGAAATACATGAACATTTTCAATCTCACGTCACAATTATTCGATAACCTTTTTGAATATTCTGGAAAGAAATTAGCATTTTAGCATATCTAATATGAAGATTAAAACATTTTGTTGTGTAACAAAGCTACATTATTATGCTCTTTCTTTGATTTTCCAAAAATAACAAACAGAAGTGGCAGTTAAGGCTAAATCCACTCGAAGATATGTCTTAGCCTTCCCTGAAGCCTCCGCACCAAACGCAAAGTTTAAAAATATTTTTTTTCAGTTCCTAATCACTACAGCTTGTATGCCCTCAAGGTATAAAGTGCATCTCCTCAATTTTGTGTTTTTTTATCCAGCCGACCACAGCCTCTCATAAGGAAGAGGCTGGCGCCGCCCCTCTCTGATAACAAATTCATTCATAAGTCAGAAGCCATCATCCAGGCCTTCTAGTGTAACTGATGTTGTGTTGGCCCAGGAATTACGACTTATTAAAACTTAAATGCTAATCGCTAAAGATTCGCGATGCTGTTATTTCCACATTGTATTTGTACCCTCTTCACAGTGAGTGTATATATAATGAAACATTTTATATTCACTGAGTGTAAATAAAACAATTATTTTTTTCAATTTCATAACATTTGCTATGCTACCCCCTTTTATGCATTGAAAACAAAAACACTGAAGTTATTTCCTGATCTTAATTCAGAAATCTGCAAAAATTAAAAAAAAAAAGATAATCAGAACCCAAGTGATTTCTATTAGGTTATAATCTGCTTACTCATAAACTACCTGGACTTGTTTTCATATTGGGCGTTTTTGAGCTTGGTTTAAAGTGTTTGAGGATAGGCCTAGCTCTCAATCGACTTTCTTAACTCCAACAGTTTTGCATTAAAAACATAGTTATGAACATATGTTTTATTATTACAGAAGCAGTTAGTGCTACACAAACAAGTTACATTGATAATCACCGAATTCATTTTTCAGTACCAATATAAGAATGATTTAACAGCATAGTCCACTTTTTATGTCATATAGATACACCCAGATTATGACATGCAAACTAGATAGGTAGTATTTTAATAACACTTCAACATAATCATATTTCAGTGTTAGTTCATCTAAATAGTCTGATAAAAATCAGTGTTTAAGCTACTTTGCATCACTGTAAAACGTGTTACCGTAAAAAGGGTAACTTTGAAAGACTTGGTAAAACTAAACACACATAATACAAATGAATAAACGTTTAAGCGCTACTTTCATTATTGGCTGAGTATATAAACATTTCTTACGTATATATCAGAAGGAAAATAGCAAGTTTTAGCTTTTCTTCCAAGTGCACCCATTTGTTCTTAGAAATCATTTCATAAACTACGTTCAAACTTACCTTATTTCAAAGGTATTCATTTATTACATTACTATTTATTCCGTTGTATTATGGAAACACAAAGTAAAGCAAAGAAGAAATAGTACAAAACACGAATAAAAATAAAACTTTACTAGACATAGGCATGTAAACAAATAAAAACATTTGTTCGGATTCACCAGTTGTTCACATTTGCGAAAAAGCGAGAGTATCTTTTATCATAGCTTTCACGGTTTCGCCATTATTTTTTTAAATAGATACAAATTTCGAATACACATTACATACATATCCGTATATGAAAAGTTAGAAAAGCGAAAATGATTTCCATACTTACATATACTGGCCACCAGAATCCAAAAGGTAAATATTTTCTGTGTCAATGCTTCTATTTGTTTCCGGCTTTGATGAATAATGAATAACAGCTCCGTTGGGTCCTGATGCAGAAATAGCCGAGAAACTGTCTCCCTTGTTCAAAGGTTGTTCCCTGAAAAACAGTTTTTTGTGCACATTTTCCAGCAACATTACAAAGAGTTATGTTTAAATAGGAATGCGGAGCTGTTTTGAGTTTACCATTGAAATACCAGATGTAAATTTTGACCAGATTACGTGGCTCTTTCAACATAATAGCATTACAAGAATTTAAAGAAAGTCAGTTAACTTTATGCAAAATGAAATTAACTCACAATCGGCGCTTCGATAGTTCTTCTTCTGCTTTAATCTCGTCCCAGGGTATCCCAGCTTTTACCTCTTCCTCAAGCAGTGAGACGAAGTCAATAAGAGCAACAGCATCTCGCAGCTGCGTCAAAGATAACATAATTTGTAGAAACAAACCTACAGCTCCAAGCATACCAAATAGTAAAACTGGATCAATTTAATGGCTAGAGATTATCATTTGATTATCTAAGAATGACTATTTTCTAAAAGAAGAGAGAATCAGTGAAATGTAGAATAATAAGAATGTTTGAGTTGCCACAAAAGAGAGATATATATGTCATTCAGTAAACTGGACTAATTTTTATTGGGTATTATCGACCCCATTTATGACACAAATGTGTTGTAGGTATAGCCAAAAATTATTAGCTTCTGACAACATGAAAAGATATAAAAGGCACTCAAAATACGTAATATGCACTCTCATGGAAATTAACAAGTTGCAATAAACTGATACAAATTATGATTTAGGAACTACTGAATAAAAAAAATCATATGCTTCGATACACTTTTTATCATTTTATTTTCTCAAGACAAAATATTTACTAAAATCTGTAAGTATTAAAATTATAATTTTACAACATACTTTTTGCTTTGTCACTTAATAACATATTTAAGACCACTGATTCTGCAATTAGAAAATCTATGAATCATCTCTTAATAACAGATAGTTGGAAACAAAACAACTCTTCAGCTAGCAATAATTACCTATAAAACTAGGCCTATTTGTAGCTGTAATTCAACCTGTAACGGTATGGTGCCCAAAAGTAATGTTTACAAAGCTAGGTCTACATATAACTGAGATTCAACCTCCGACTAGACTAAAATCATCAGTAATACTTATAGTGCCAAGACTCAATATAGTTCAGATTCAAGTCTAAATGGGTTCAGAAACCATCCTATAACTCCAAGATAAGGCTCGAGGGCATATAAAGTTAAGTGTAAATGGGTTCAGAAACCATCCTATAACTCCAAGATAAGGCTCGAGGGCATATAAAGTTAAGTCTAAATGGGTTCATGAACCATCCTATAACTCCAAGATAAGGCTCGAGGGCATATAAAGTTAAGTCTAAATGGGTTCATGAACCACCCTATAACTCCAAGATAAGGGTCGAGGGCGGGCTTTGTTTGTGAGAGTTGAAAAATGTTGTCTTCTTGAGTTGTTAAGTGTGTCTTAAAAGTAAGTGTTAGTTAACCCTTTAACTCAGCTGATCGAGCACTCGTTTGGCATGCGAGAGGTTCCATGATCATTCCAGATTGCGTGAAATACAAAAGTACGATTATCTAAAACGAACTTTTAATAACTCATAAAATGTTAAATGCTTCATTTTGATACAATAATTTAGTGATCGTAAAAGAAAAACCTAATGTAAAGAAATGAAAAATACGAATTTTCAATATTATTTCATATAATCCTGTTATTTTGAATTTTATGTATTTCTCAAAACGAAAAATGGAAATTTCAAAATTAAATTAATAAAAACAACTAAAATACATAACATAAGTTGTTTTGATACAAGTTGTTTTTAACAGGTTGTATATAAAATAAAAAATATGAATAAGTTTCGTATTATATTACTGTTGTACGTTAGATATCTACATTGTGGGGCCTTTTATTCGGTAAGCTGTGCTTATTGCGGGGAATGGCCCGGCATAGCCAGGTGGTTAGGGCACTCGACTCGCAATCTGATGGTCGCGGGTTCGAATCCCCGTCACACCAAACATGCTCGCCCTTTCAGCCGTGAGGGCGTTATAATGTGACTGTCAATCCCACTATTGGTTGGTAAAAGAGTAGCTCAAGAGTTGGCGGTGGATGGTGATGACTAGCTGCCTTCCCTCTAGTCTTACATTGCTAAATTAGGGACGGCTAACGCAGATAGCCCTCGTGTAGCTTTGCGCGAAATTCAAAACAAACAGTTTCTTGTTACCTAATGTGAATTTGATATGTATGGTGTGTCACTATACACAGCTTCTGTAAATTTGACTTGTAGAATCACTCGGCAAAGACATCACATGGTACAGCGTTCCTTTCCTCTCTGCTACGTTTTCTTAGCCTAAACCGTAATTAGGCAGCCGTATAAATTAGGATTTGAAGACCTGCCCAGGCGCGAAAAATATAACGAAAACAACAAGATTTTTATTTTGGGTAGGTTCAAAAATAATTTAGGTGATTTAATTTTATTTATTCTTTGCAACTAAATAAACATTTAATAAATAATGTTTCATTATGATTTTAAAACGCGATGTAAAACGCGATCAAGTTATTTAGTAAATGTAAAAAGTGTGTTATTGTAATCTAAACTGTTTCAGGGCTGTTACAGCGTCACTTCATATGAAAAAAAAAATGTCCCAGCTTTTCGCTATAGAAATTTGGTAACCATATTCAAATCAGTAACATGCACATCAGGCATCTAATGATTCGTAATGAGATCTGAAGTGCACATGATTGGTGATTAAGCTTACGCTCCCCAAGTAAACATATGGCAGTGGTAGTTTTACATTGTCATAGTTCAGGACGTTTCAGTTGGACAGACCTTACTGTCAATATAAACAGTAAATAAAAACTGGTATTATTTTTCTATGCTTAAAATCAATGTTGAAAAGGCCCTGAATTGCCCATGACCACTTCTTTGAAAGAACTCTTTCCGAGGTCAGGCCTAAAATAGGGACGGCTAGAGCAGATAGCTCTCTTGTAGCTTTGTGCGAAATTTGAAACAAACATATTGGCAGAACGAAATCAAGCTTTTAACAGCTAGTTTAAGTCACATAGGACACGGATGTTTCTTTAGTAAATTTGGTTGTACTTAAGCGCACAGCTACACAATGAGATATCTTTGCTCTGCACACCACGGGTATCGGAATCCGATTTTTTAGCCGATGAGCCACTGGGGGATAAAGGGCTATTTTAATTTAAAGTGGATTTACTGACAAATACCGATTCCGTAATAAACGAACATGTTCGTTGGTTCATAAACAAATTAGCAAGTCTTCATTATTTGAGTTTTGAAGTCCAAAATTAACAAGTAAACTCATACCAATGCTTTCAAAAGAAGTCAGTAATGTAATTACTCCAGAAATTAAAACACGTGGAGTACTAATTTATAATGGAGGACCTTGTCCACGATGTAAATTATCAACAGCAATTATCGAAAGTTTTAAGAGCAGTTAAAAATCCAAGGAATGCAGGTAAGTATTGAATAAAAATTAATTTCTTTAACGAACACGTTGAGGAAATTACAGGCTCAGTGTGGCATTAATGACATCATTCTACAGGATGTAGAGGTTGAACCATCCCACGATGTTATTCTTTCTCAGAACAACCAGATGCTCTATGAAAATATAGTTGAATCTGTTTTCAAATTTCTTCAAATGATTTAACGGCTCTCATTTGGTAACAAAGTGAAGTGCGATTCAACTGTAGAAAGAATATTAGCAATCGATGTGTTCGAAGTTTGATTATAAACAAGATTACGACACTTATGAGATACAACATTGTTTATGGGAAAAAAAAAGGACATGGATAAACGTTTCGGAATTCTATCAGATTCCATCTTCA